AAAATGGCCAGATTGTCATAATTCAAGTATGAATTATCAAACTGGAAGCAAATGGTTTGTTCTTATAATATTTTTCTTCCCTTTCTCTCTTTATCTTGCTTTCTCATTTGGGAAAAGGGGGGAGTTTTGGGGGAGGGGTGTGGGTTGTGGGTAGGATGTGATAGTGATCATAGCTAATTAGCTACTTCTAGCAAGCTTAACGTGGTTCTAGCATTTTCTATATATTATATCTCTCATATAATGACACTTTTGCAGGGTCAGAAGCATAGGCTTGAAGTGAAAGTACAACTGCCTATAGGAGGCACTGAATATGAACATCAAATGTGAGAGTGAGTACTAAACTTCCTATAGTAGTAGTCTTCTCTATGGTTCTTCATTTGAATTAACTTCCATTTTCTTTTTAATTTAATTTGACTTTAGTTTTTACCTTGAATCATCTATTTTCTGCTACGTCACAACCCTTGATTGAACATAATTAAATGAGTTTAAGCATTCAATAAGATAAGATGCCTAGGTCCATTACTGGTACTTTAGTTCATAGTTTTTCTTCTAAAAAATCTAACTGATCTATCTTGATTCTAGCCCAGCCATGCCTTCTAAGGCTTGTGTTCGATTAGCTCTACCTTAAAAGACAAAAATGAGAGGTTGGAACTCAGTAAAACCAGAACAATCTATGTTTATTGGAAGGCCATCCTTTATTCCCCGAAAGGTGCTCTATTAGTCTCTTAAGATAACTTTGTAGCTTTCTGAAGTCCTCTATTATTATTATTAACATAGGTTCTCAGTAAACCCTTTTCATCCTGATTCTTGAATATGTAGTGTATTAGCTCTTGTGATATTCTAGAGAGAAAGCTATAGCCCCTTAAGAAGTATGAATAATGCAGAAATCTATTTTGTTGTCATTGTTACACTTATTCAAATGGCTATTTGTTTTGTCACAGCCCTTGGTTGAATACAATCAAATGTGTTTTTTGGCCTTCATTGAAATAAAGTTGTTGACTAGAGTTTGCTTTTATTTAAGGCAATAGTTATTGGAACTTTAGTTTTTAGTTTTTCTTCTGAAAATCTAACAAAATTTTCTTGAATCCAGCCCAGCCATGCCTTCTAAGGCTTGTGTTCAATCAGCTCTAACTCCGAACACAAAAATGGAAGGTTGGAACTTAGTAAACATGGAACAATCTATGTTCATTGGAAGGTCAACATTTAAGAAAAACAAAGGGAAAGGAATTTCTTTTTCTTGTGCTTGGCAGGTAATTCTTGAGTCTCCTATTTTTCCTCCCCCTTTACCCCAAAACATAAAGATATATAATAGAATTAGACATCCGACCCTATTGTCGCATGCTTTCTGATTGAGAAATACTGGCACATTTGAGCATTCTAAGGTGATTATTGGCATGATATTAGGAGTTGGGCTACCTAAAATTCTTTAAACCACATGACTCAATTTATTTTTATACTTATTTGCTGCATGAAATTATGAAATGTTCTGTATTCATTCATTTGTGATTTCTAGAATTAGTTGGGTTAGAATGTTGAGTTTCTCACCTTTTATTCCAATTAAAATTAAGAGGAACAACTGCATATCTTTTCCTTAGGGGCTTAGGGCACTTTCTTCCTCTTTCCTTGTACAGTGATTTGCTTATGCTTGCAAATTATTTTAGTTTTGGTATATGAATTTCATTTCATTTTTCTTTCATCATATCAAAACATGAATGGATATCTTATCTCTCCTTCAATCCCATTACCTCAAATGAAAAGTGATTACTATGGCCTTTCAAGTGCATTTGGGGTAAAAGATGAGTACTTTGGATGTAACTAAAGCTGACCTTGCTCTTATTGTTTTGTATTTGAATAAGGTTGAAGCAAGAGATAAGATATGTAGGGCTATATAGTATGGTTCAAAATTCATTAGTGAAGGGAGCCTAGCACAGCCCAAAATGTTGACAAATCAACCAGCTTGGCAAGGAAAGTTTTCTGACTTTTTAAGTTTTGGCTCCATCTTATAATGCAAAATAAGAAATTAGAATTATTTTCATTCAATTTCTTGATAATGGTATTATCATGAGTTTAAATTGTTAAATTGGAAAAATTTTGAGTCAGTTTATACATCTTATGAGAAAATGTTTTTCTTTTTGATTTGATCTATACTCTTACAAATCTTGAATCTTGCTTGATTTATGCTTTATGTTGTTAATTTGCAGTTGGTCAAGGATTTGCATGCTCTTATTAGCCTAGTTCCTCAAGGAACTCCCCTTCCACTTGTTTTGTTGGGGAAGGTATGATTGTACTATAGAGAAACGTTCTCCTATAGTTCTCTTTGGATTTTTAATTGACTCTATTTTTGTGATGAATTCATTAATTTTTCTTTCAGTCAAAGAATGCACTATTATTGACTTTCTTATTTCTCAATCAAATTGTTTGGCTTGGCCAAACAAGTATCTATAAGGTATGAAGTTTACCTTATCAATATTTGATTTTATATAACTTGTGGTTGGATTCTGTAAGAAATGTTAATTGGAAAAAAAAATAAACTATTATTTTTCATAGAACAAGGAACGTGCTAAGCTACTTGGGTGGATATTCCTTTTCTGTTGGATGGGTTCTTCAATTTGCAGCAGCTTGGTTGAGGTTTGTTGATCATTATTAGTTATATAAAGTTCTCTCCTACAATAATTGTTTTGCCATTAAATTCTTCACAAGCTTTAGATCTTTATATGAATATTCTTCTTAAATAAGCTTGGGGAACTTGGGAGGCTTTCAGTATCAATGGAAAAGTCAAAGAAAGACCTAAAGAACGGTGATAAGTGCCAAGTATGTTTAACATAGTTACTATTTTGTGTGCTCACAGTTGGGATTCTCCTATTTGAATTTCCATATTATATTGTGGTGGATAAAAAGGGCAGCGAATGACTGGTATTGTTTGATGAGAAATATATTTTATAGAGGTTTTTGTGTATTGTAAAATGGGTTAGAGTATCGTTTATTTTCAATATATGAATAAAATGTGTTAGGTTTTTATCAATACAACAAAAGAATTAGTGCAAGAGAAAATTATAAAATAAAAGTGAATTACCAATTGTAAAAAAAAGAAAAGATAAAGGATTTATACCAATGGAATTATTCATTTGTAAAGGTAAAGTTTTATATCCACGACAAAATTTTTTAGGATCTATACCAATGGAATCATCCATTTGTAAAGATCAAGGTCTATACCCACGGCAAAATCTTTCAAAATTTCTTAGGGTCTATGCCAATGGACAAATCTTCCATTGGAATAGATCTTAGGGTTTATACCCACGGATTGGTCATCAGTATATACTCTATAGTGACGAGGTTTGCACTGATGGAAAGCTCTTCCGTCAGAATAGTCCTTGAGGGTTTATATTGATGAAAAAAGGGTGTATATTGATAAAAAAGTTCGTTACTATAGATACATCTGCTTGTAGTGTGTCATGTAGATAGTTTTAATTAATCGATTGATTCAATCTAAGTTTTGTAGCCTGATGGCTATACGTTTGATTGTAAGGTGCATTTTCAGCCCTAATGTTGGGGTTTGAATCCCTCTCTCAAAAATTGTAACTTGTTAAAAAAAAAAAATCTATTGATTAAATTTAAGTCAAATTTTATCAATTTATTTCTATAAATTAATTCTAAAAAATTATATTTATTACACTTTTAATATATATTCTAAAAATACAAATATAAAATCCTTCCTAAATTTCATGCTATTTGAATTTCTATTGGTGTGAAAGATTGTGTCTATTGGTATCTGAATTCTTTTAAATTAATTAATCATAAGCATGCTTTAATAAAAAAAAGGTGGCACAGATGGGTTCTATGATGCGCGGGTGGAAAAAATAATTAAAAAAATGTTCCAAATGTTTAACTGTCTACATTTTAATGATCAACAAACAGGTGTTACTAGGGCTGGGCATGATATGGTACGGTTACCATACTGCTCTCAAATTATGGTAACCGTTTTAAGTAGTAATGAAAAAAATTTACCATTTCCATACCAATTGATGATTTTTTGGTAATGGCTGCCAACCATTTTTAACGGTAATGAAACTTGCCTTACCAATACCATCATGTATTACCATCTTTAAACTTATTTTCTTCATTATCAATTAATTCTAAGTCATTCAAAATTCAATCTTAAAAGCTCAAAATTATCTTAAGAACTTATTTTCTCCATACCGTTCTTCATCATCTTGAAGCATACAAATATATAATTATACAAGACATGCACACATAAAAAAAAAAAAAGGAACTAACAACCATTGAAAATTGTGTAGAATAAAAAAAAAAAAAGAGAGGAAAAAGTGAGGAAGGTTCCCGATCTTCTCTCCTTGGAGCCCCCTCCCCCCAATTCCGGCCATCACCACCATCCGCATCGTCACTGTCACCACCATCATCATCATTGACCATCACCTCCAGTTTCGATCTCCATCTCTAGCAGCTATAGGTTTCTTCATCCATCTCGCTCCATTGTCGGAAATCCATCTCCAGATCTGCTTGTCTCCGCCCTGTAGCAGCTGCAGGCCACAGATCTGGGGGTTTTTTAGGAGTGGAGAAAAGAGAGAATTTCTCTCTCTGGCGAAAGAAAAAGAAGTAGAGGAAGAAAGTTGGGTAGGGTTAATGAGATATTACTATTTATATTGCTTGGCAAAATTACAAAAATTGCCACCATTTTAAGAAAAAAATCATTAAAAATATTCTAAAATTGAAAAAAAAAAAATTTTGGACAAGCAGTAAATTCGATAATTTGGAGGCCCATACGGTAAATATGGTAATGACCTCCAATTTGGAGGGACTACATTGAGGCATTTTTAAATAGTAGAAGGAGCACATGAGGTAAATTAAGAATAGATAGTTTAAATTCAAGTTTTATAAGTAAAAGTGGCATTAACCCCAAAGTCTTATGGAATTTTTTTTATTTTTTTTAGCGAAAAGTTTTATGGATTTTCTATAAAATGTGCGTCTAGAGATTTTTTACGAACGTCCTACCATCAATATTCGTCCTCTTTCCTCTTCGAAATGTCTAAGTTCTATGATGGCCTTGTAGATGAGTTCCAGTCATGGTGGTGGGCTGGTTTTGCGGTGGTTCTGGCCTTGTATTATGCATGGCTGATGACCAAGAAATCAACAAGAAAGCTGCCGTTCCCACCAGGTCCGCCAGTCCTGCCTCTATTAGGAAACCTTCCCTTTCTTCAACCTGATTTAAATCACTACCTTACTAAATTGTCTAACACTTATGGTCCCATCATGAGGCTCCAACTGGGCAGAAAGATTTGTATTGTCATAAGCTCCGCTTCGCTCGCCAAAATAATCCTAAAAGACAATGATGCAATCTTTGCTAACCATGACGTTTTAGCAACTTCGAAGATTCTATTTTATGGTGGGATTGATATTGTTTTCAGCCCTAATGGCCCGCAATGGAGGAAGATGCGAAAGATTTTTGTTCATCAACTGATGAGCAATGCGAGCCTTGATGCCTGCTATGCACTTCCCCAACAGGGAGTACGAGAAATGGTGAAGGATGTGCATAGCAAGGCCGGTTCCCCCATTGATATCAGCGAGCAAATGTTTATTATGGTGCTGAACGTAACGATGAGCATGGTATGGGGTGCTCCGTTGCTTGGGGAGGAAAGGAACAGCATAGGGCCCGAGTTTAGACG